GGTAATCCGGTGTAGGGACTAGACTAGAACGGAGTATGTGTCGGCTGAGGAAAAAAAGAAAAAAACCAGGCCAGTTGCACAGTATTTTTATATCAAGTGGGCATTTACGTCCTACATTAGCTTGAAGCGAGTTAAGAGAATAGGAATAAATGATAACAGGATTTTTGCTTGCTCACTAACTGCACCGTCGCCAATCTTAAATGCGCACTGCACCCGATTCGTAGAAAAGGTCAGGGGGTGGTCGGGTTTTAAGTAAGGTGGCAGCAGTTTCACAGGTAAGCGTTCTGTCTACGGACTGAGAACAGTATGATGGTGCATGATGCTTTGCAGCTGCTCAGGAAGGCTGTTCCAGATGCGAGCGTAACAAACTTTGATGAGGTATTGGCGTGGGCATTTACTAGCTGGGGGGCACGTTAAGAAATTACAAAAGTTACTGGGTCTGTAGCCAGGTCGAGAGTTAAAGTTTGATCCAACTTCTGCTATAAAGGCATTTTTGTGCAGCAGACCGTGTAAGAGAGTCAGATTTATTTTAACCTTCTGAGCCATAGCGGTTCGACGCCCAGGAGGTAAGACGCCTGGGAGCGGTAAGAGAGGGGATTGGACCAAGGGAACAGCTTTTTCGTGAAGGAGCATTTGACATTTTTAATTGCGAGTCTGGAACTTTGAGTATAACTTGAAAAGAATGCGTGACAGGATTCCAGGATTGTTCCTACGCACGGCTTAAAAATTACAACCATTGTTTCTGGAAGGTGAGAGGAGTGCAGTATTTAAAAAGGGAACCTGTGTGCTACGGCAACATGGAACTGCACATAGTCGGAAATGCTCAAAGCACAGGAGTATGTGAGGTGAAGATCTCCGATTATCGTGGAATAATTGATAGGAAATCCATTAATTGTGAGGGTGTCAGACGGGAGAGAACAGGGCAGGAAGTTATGCAGGATTTTGTGGAGTAAAATCTAAGGCCAGGGTCGTCTGACCAGCAAGTTAGTGGATCGAAGTCTCGCTTAATCTGGTGAAAGGCAAGGGCTTGTGCACAGGGGATTGTGTTTGCGGTTTTTATATCGTCCGCGAAGAGGAAGGCCTTACCGAGGGATATGCCTTCGGAAACGTCGTTGGTGTACAGTAAGAAAAGGATGAGTTTTAGCACGCTTTCTTCAACAACTCTACTGATGATCGATGGTGAAGATGATTGTATGTCACCGGTTTGTGTTATTTGCATCCTGTCTGATTAGTAGGAGGCGAACCACTGGAATAAAATTCCAGTGATGCCAATGGCACTAAGTTTGTGTAGAGGAGGTGCATGAAGGACCTCAGCGAAGGCTTTTTGAATATTCAGTAAACTGCTACAGTGAGGTATCCAGCGTCGTAGGCTGCCGTGATGGTCTCAAAGAAGTGGATCTGGCAGCCACTAACGGAACTTTTGAACAGAAATTAATACTGCCGGTTATCTCCGACACTGGTAGCCAGGGGGAACTCGATTAATGGACCTTTGGCCGGGCGTTCGAGGGTTCTCGTTAGGAGGGAGTTATGATGGATTCCCCCGCAGATGGAATAAGTTTGTCTAGAACCAAATTCGAAATGCGGGTGGATTATGGATTTCTTCCACTGGGAAAGGGCGATTCCATAATTTAAAGAGTGCATAAAAATATTTAGCACAAGGATTCCAATATCTTGGCCGCCTTGTCTCAAGCGTGGGGTGGAAGGTCGTCGGCTCCAGGTACAACAGAGTCCTTAATCGTTAGAAGGGAAGGAACATCAGGTTGGGAGATGGTTGCGTTAACGAGAGCCGGGTGGTTAACTTGACCGTTTAGAGTTTGGAGAGCAAGAGGGTTAGATTTTGGAGGATTTGGCGGGTGAGAGCAGGCGAACTAAACGTTCAGACGGTCTGCAATATTGACGGGATCAGTGATGGGGTCACTATCTGTGAAACTCAAGCAGTAGATTCAGGGGCTGTTTGAGACACACAGTCTGCGGAAGATTCGGCCGAGTAATTTGAAATTAGAAGGGGCTCTGCAGTCGGTGTTCCCTTGCCGGCGTTCGAGGGATACTGCAAGGATTCTCGGTGAGTAGGGTGTTTACTGATGCGAATTAGTAACGAGAAATCATGAGATTTTTGACATTATCTGCTAGCCAGGCGTATTTTGGCATCCAAGATTTTTATTAACTTATCGTCGCCGGAGACATTGGAGTGAAAAGGTTTTACGGGACAAACAAGTTGAAAGACGTCTCAGATGTGGTGTGTATTTGTCGAGGGGAAGAAGTCATCCCAATGTTGAAAAGCCAGTTTGGACGACAAAGCTTGTAAACTATCCAGGGAGAGGGGATGAAACAAAGATGGACTCAGAGGGACAGTTCGGTCCTAACTGGCTGCTTTGCAAGAAACGACGCAGTGATCACTCTTTGAGAAGTGCGGACCAACTGCATCTGTAGCCAATCGGCCATCGTTGGAGAATATTAGGTCCAGAGTATGTTGGCCACGAGTGTGACTACGTACAATTTGGGACCAGCACTCCACACTAAGTTGGGCAAGCATCGCGGAATAAAGGGTGGGGCCCGTATTTGGAGACCAGGACATATCGTCAGGTTATAAATATGAACGAGTGGGGAAGGGCGTGTAGTGGAGATAATACGTGAAAAGTTGGTAATGGAGTAGTAGGAGGAGGTCGGTGGTAGATGGATACAACCTACTAGTACATGTTGTTTGGTACCAGGACATTCAGGTTATAAATATGAACGAGTGGGGAAGGGCGTGTAGTGGAGATAATACGTGAAAAGTTGGTAATGGAGTAGTAGGAGGGAGGCGGTGGTAGATGGATACAACCTACTAGTACATGTTGTTTGGTCTGTGCTGTAGATATTCAGGTGGTCCCCTATTGTAGTTCACAGTAAGTCAGAAG